GAGCTTATATTTAGCGTTTGCTGTAGTACTGGTACAACCCGTTTCTCCGTTTTATTAACACCACTTCTTATCGTAACTTCACTTGTTCCTCCTCTAACTCCTTCTGCACCTCTTGTTCCAACAACAGTTGTAGCACCTGCCTTACTTGCTTGTTCAGCAATAGCTTCTCGTTCTTGCTCATTTTGCTGTGGTTCAAATGTTAGGGTTGAAAAAGCAGCTGTAACAGCTGTAACCGTATTCTGAGCCTTTCGTTCGGCCGTTTTTTCCTCTTCTCTTTCATCTAAATTACTTCCTGACGGTAAATTGACATATTCTCGGTGATAATCCTTCCGATCGCTATCACTACCTTCGTGATATTTTGCACAACCTAAGAGACGTCGCTTAATGAGCGGTGTTTCGATGGTAGTTGTTCTTGATAGCACAACACTGCGGGAAGCCAAATTACGCGGTCGTATCCTAGAGGTGGTTGGAGGAGTGGGAGCACGTAAAACAACTTCTACCAAACTTTCTCCTCCCTCTTCATTCACATCTGGGATAACATGATCCGAATAATTAACAGCTATTCCATCTTTGTTCATTACCAAATCAAATGCTTTTGATAATTTTCCGTTATCTTTAAGTTCCACTTTCATACCTTCATCTTTTCGAACTACTGATTTCGCCAATCCACCAAACAACACTTCTTCTTTGGGTTTTGACCTTTTCGACGTCTGAAGTGAAGCGAACTCCTTCCTGGTTTTAGCTTCAACCGTCATCGTCGAATCATCAAAGGAACTCGCTTCAGGTATTGCAGCAATGGGTGCTGCATGAGCAGAAGGTGCAAATGAAGATGATGGTTTTTCTGGAGGAAATGGCCTTGATAGATCTTCCCAATGATTGTAACTTCGGTACAATATTGGATCGGAGAAACATCGACGCAGACTAGCAATAAGTTTCGTATTACGCCTCCTAGATACATAATTTTTATATTTCCTTCTTCGTGGAATCACCACAATTGGCATTCGCCGTAGACTGTCAAAACCATGGCGTGGCATTTTTATGTGGTATTGTTCCGGTAATTTAGACAACACTCCGTTAAAAATAAAAGACAGATGTTGTGACGGACTTGAGCGTAATGATGTTGATATGGATGAAGAGGGTAAAATAGAGGCGTGAAATGAAGATTGGTGAAGAACAGGTGACGGTACTAAGGTGGCGTGTTGCGGGATCCGGTGTGAGTAATAGTGTTTAATTACAGGAGTATGGGTTGATAAGTCCAAAGAATTGGATAATTTCCCAAAATTCGACTTCGTAAGATGATTATCCGGTTCCTTAAGCTGTGTCAGTGAAAACCGGCAAAAGCCATTCAGCGGATATTGTGGGAACACAGCGGCTACTCTCGGTGAATTTGGTGGTGTTTGGACCCACTTGGAAGGGGCCAACGGGGATAGAAGCTGGGAGGATGAAATATTGGCTGTTTGAATGTAAAAGCACCACCACTATCGCTATCACTACCACTACCGCCACCACCACCACACCACCACCACCACCACCACCACCACCACCACCACCAACACCACCACCACCACCACCAATACTCACGCAATAGCGGACGCTGGAATAATAATATAACAGCACCAGATTTCCACCAGATAATTATTCACACTTGACCTCATCCATGATGTAATTCATTCAAATTTGGCATGAATCGAATTACGGTAGTATGGAATGATGGTGATCGAGACAAGGTAGTAAGAAAATAATGCAAGTATCAATAGCTACACCACCTTAGAATAGAGCAGCATGCATATAATACTTAACACCGCAAAGTGGTAGTTCAAATAAAAATATGCCAGCAATAAGAACTGATTCTCAAGATAATGTAAAATCAAGAGTAAGGAGTTAATAGTTCAGTTTGTTGACTGATCGGTACGTTGATGAGTTTAGTGAGCAAGCAAAGAAACAGGAAGAATGAAATTGCTGCACCTACTAATGCTATTGCTCAGGGAAATTGTTGCTTCGAATCAAGAATAAAGGGAAATCCTCATCGGATATGACAGCCGCGTTTCTCTTAGCTTTCTAACTTTCAGCGCTCGAAATTCTGGTAAAGCTCCGGGATGATGATGGACGGCTGCTTAATGCTGTTAACTGCATAACGGAGGATATGACAATGTACGGTGGTAGATGATGCTCAGCTCATCCCATAGAATTTGTTTCTCATCAGCAATCTGTTCTATATCATCTACTCTCTTCACTCTTCTTCATCTCACTACCTCGAATATCCCGAACACGTCGAAGGCAATGATTGAATCCTTTGTTTTCTATTAGTTTTGTTGTCTTCTTCAACTTCAATTTCACTTCCAATACGAAGCTCCAAGAAAGCAGATATCTCTTGAAATACCTAAATGCACAACACTACTTCCTGAAATTCATCAATTGTGATGTTCCATCTCATCTACCTAGCTAAAACGTAACATTCTTTTAATTTCTACCTCTTCTCCCTACTACAGTTCCAAACTTTTTGCAAAAATTCATACATATCTTTTTTTTTCTTATATACTTTATTTACTTAATGAAAACAGAGCATTTTAACACTTCCCTGGAAGTAAAATCAAACAGTTTTAGATAGTAAATACCAAAAACTTAACGTTGAAAATGCATTTGTTTTTCACTGAATTCATTTCTTTATAATGTTCATCCAAAATCACAAATTAACTATTTAAGAGATTAAAGATTTCAACGATTCACATAATTTTCAAGAGATTTTCATAACTGGAAACTTCCATTTGAAACCAGTTTGGGGATGACGAAAAAATCACTGCATTTAATAACAAATTTGCTGGTTATCTTATAAAATATTAGCTGCGTTCAACACCATCTTCTTTAATCTTGTGATTTAAGTGTTATCTGTTTTATCTAACATATGTTCATAAAGCGATCTTTCTCTCCCTAAATCTTTTCATATATGAATATCATTCTCTCATTCCTCCTCGGCAGAAAAATTAAGAAAATTAATGCCAAAGTGCTATAAAACAATCTAAAAGTAAAATAAAGAGTAATTTCTGAATTGCAACAAAGAAATGGTAGCAAGACATAAAAGCCTCGAAAACAGGATCTATAAAAGGCGTAAAAGACTAAAGGGAAGATTATGCTAACATAAAAAAAGGAGTAAAATATTGTCAGTCGTTGAAAGTTAGGATAACTTAATTTATGCTTTAAATTAAGGCAAGCCATTTAGATATTTAGTTATTTGCAATGTCAGAAAATATGAAAAGTGGAAGAGGATTTAAAAAACAAAAAATGCTTTACGTGAAACATTTTACTCCCGAAAACATTTCCACGTTACACGTTTGTTACATGTTTCATAATACAACAGTAGCACCTGAACGCAACAACACACAACACAACATCTCAATGATTTTTAGCAATTGGAAGTTATACAACACAGAAACCAAAGTCAGATATTCGAATGACGTTGAAAATGAAAAGCAAAATTAGATTCTGTCAATGAACAACTAAATTATTATGTTCTCCAATAAAAATATACATTTTAAAAGTCAAATATTCGTGCTCTGAAAATATTTCTGCTCTTAAAATCAACAGTTTATAAAGTTTCGGAAACTTTTATGATAAATAACTGAAGCTTGTTTTTCAGTTCATTCACAATCTTAATCATGAAGTATATTATATCTATAAAACTTGTCTTATACTATCCAAATATTATCATTTGCAATCGAAATGCAACAGTAATATATTTTTCTTACAAGTTTCAAGCAAACCGTAGTAGCACAATTTCGTTTTACTACTAATCTCATACTTGATGGTAAAGCTACCTACGACATCAGAAAACTAGTATTATTTACAATACACTATTCAAAAATGGTTATGTGCTGTACTGATTCAAGTCTGAATATTTGCTCAATTATGCTATTCCAAAAAAAAAAAAAAAAAAAAACTGGCTTTAACAATCTAAATGATAAGAAAACATAATGGGCAATCGTGTAATCATAATTAGTATTTTGATAATATTTTAATTACGTAATACAAAGTAAACATGCGCACAAGAATGCCCAACAAATGAATTTTCTATCATAAAGACGAATTCCAAGCGAAAGTGTTTATTTAACTACACTAAAAATGAATCACTTGTCACTTGTCAAGAAAAATAAATTAACTGATATTAGGACAAGTTTCGGAACCATATTTTTGGATTGTCGCCTGTATGTTTCTGATTGCATGGATGATACTACTGCAAGTTCTGGTGGAAGAAAAAAAAACTCAATTCTATACGCATTTTTTTTTCAAATTTCAAATCAATTAACTGGCTGGAACAGCGTTTATGCCTCCTCCATCGCCATAATATAAAAGTAACGCTAGCGTAAATCAGTTTTTCAAAAAGAAGCACACGTTGTTAACCATTTTCTAACATATATTTTATTTCGCTATATCATGTATATTGCCGATAGCTAGTTTAATGGGATATTTGATCAAAAATACTACTAATTCATTCCAGCAAACTTTTTTTGTTTCAAAAAAATGATACCCGTATTTTATATGATGCATCAGAAAACCGCAAATATAATGCAGAAGTACCGAAGTGTCGAGCTGTACCGAAGCATAGTGTTTCATGTCATCAATCTGCCATATACTAACCAATATTTTAATTACCGATCATTTCAGGTTGAATAGTTGACGTTGTTAGTAGGAAACTAAATGATTTACAGAGAAAACAGTAATAAACAAACAATTTATCACATAAAAGTTTTTCATGTCTTTTTCTGTAATAACACAGTAACCATATTGGGAGGAAATACTCAATTACACTGTTAAATTCCGCTCGAATTATTGCGGATTTCATTTTTAATAACTTCTCTCATAACTACATCAACAGCTTACACAGGTACAACAAAAAACATACTGGATCCTACATTCTTTATTTCTATTATCCGTCTTACATAGCAGCACGATTAACAAAAAACTCGTCCTGTTCTGAACATGCTTTACAGCGTACCGTTTGTTTATTAAATTGCGCTATTTTTTGAAATGATGTCACTCAGATCCACCTGAATATATTAAATGATGTAATGTAAGGATCCGATAACTCAAAATTCTAGAAATAGGAACAGTTAAAGAAATATGGGACCGAAAATGTGAAAAGAGAAAAAAGCTACAAAATTGTCTTCGATATCTTAGCTGACTCAAATTTAGACGACGTTTATCAAACATCTGGTAGTAGAAGAAAAGAAACCCTACGAAGAGCAGCTTATCATTGTTTCTTTTTTATACAGTATTGTACTAGTTACCACATGAGACCAAAATATATGTAATCTCCAGTGAAATCTGACTTTAACTCCAATAAATCTTTACCAATAGTCATCGGAACAACATCAGATACCGAAAGCTACTGATAAAAATTAAGTAGAATAAATATTACTATTCTTCTCTACTGTTAGCCCTCACAAAAGTTTAATTAACGTGTAGAAAAACTCTCTGATCTTACAGTCGCACTGAATAAATCTATATAGTGATGACTTAATATTATATGAACATCTCAAATAATAATTTGTTATAGTCGTGTTGTTTCATCTAGAATTTTTCGAGTAAGATATGTCGAATTCCATGATGCATTACAACATCCATACTTAAAAATTATAACTTGAGACCAGGATTACTTACATAAGCTGATATAATAAAACTGTTGTTTCTTTGCTTCTTCCTCAAATACCTTACCCACAGTAAAAAATACAAACATTAAAAAAAAAAAAAAATACGAAAATTCCCTTAATAAATGCCTTTTTGATTACTACATGGAAGAAATTAATCGCCTTGTTGCTGTCCAAAATATAAAAATAATTTTCACAGCGAAATGTATACCAAAAATAAGTGTAAAATGAAGCCTAGGATAATGCAATATGCCTTTCACAGCATAATGAAATGAAAAGTAAAGGTGTCTTTTATCATTCAGCGCTTGGAAATGCTGACTAGTAATGTACGAATGCGGAGAAAGATTAACCGGGTAACTTCTGTGATTAGACGTGCTGAATCACAAGCCTGAAATCCCTAGGATATTTTAAAAAAAGAAACTTACGAAGTGATCAGAATTTTTTTTATTCCACGATCGTCTACGGGCGCGCCGATTGCGTGATTCATTCCGTCGATGTCGTTCTGAACTATTGCATGGCCGTTTGTAACGACGATCAATACTACTAGAGGACCGTTCAATGCGACGTCGACGACCGCCACCCATTTCAAAGCGAAATTCGCCTATCAGTTCTCAAATCCTTGGGACAACAAATGTAACAGTACCCAACGCTAAAATTAGATTTTGTCCTTTGATGACAGAAACAGCGTTGATTAGATGGAACGTAAAACAGTCACGAACAGTTACTACATTTCTTGAATTAAATTATCATTACAGAGCAGATATGGCATATAGTGGTCTTGAAAAGACCAGCACAAGTTTAACTTTCCAATGTATAACCGAAAAAGTCAGACCTTCAGCATAACTTTGCAAATTATGCTTTTACCTTAAAGTTTTTTTTAAGGATGCAGCATAATTCAGGTAACTTCGATGCCAGAAACATATAGAAATACTTGATAAAATGACTATTTGAAAAAAGAGCCTAATATGAAATTGTTAATCGTTTCTAATTTTATCATAAATGCCTCTAAATAAGCAAAATCTTCACTTACTTAAAATTCGGCGATGACACATACCGTCAGTGATAACCTTTCAACAGTATATATACCTTTTAGTAATAAACACGTATTAAAAATATTAACAAAAAAGAATCCTCAAAATTTATATGATGATAATTTTATATACCCATAAATGCTAGAATATCTAAAGTATGCGGAATGCGTCAAATATGAATACAGAAATGAAAAAAAAAAAAAATAATAATAATAAGAATAATAAACGTAACACTAAAACGTTCTGAAATTTTGAATTTAAATTTGAAAAAATTTTCCGAAATTCAAAAGTGGAACTTATGGCAGATCTAAAATCAAAGTAACCTAACATGTGCCTATCACTTGGCAAAACCCCGTCATTCACTCTCTCCAGCCAAAATTTAAAGTCCATTCCAACCAACAAAAATAATACACGGCGGACACACACTCAACAGACAAACATACACGTACACATGCACATACACACATACACATACACACACACACACACACACACACACACACACACACACACACACACACACACACACACATATATATATATATATATACATACACACGTATGCGTGCACACACCGTACAGACTTACCAGTTTATGGTGTCAGATTATTGTGTCAGGTACTCAAGTAGCTGTTGCAGCATTTTATTCTACAATTATAGGATATTTATGCAACATTTCCCGATGGAAGATTATACAATATCTTTCTGCCACTAAACTTTATGATAACCATAGCGTAAGTAAACAGGATGCATATGCCATCTTACTACAACTATTAAAGCTATAAACGATGCCATATGATCGTAAGAATCGAAATATTCGAAAATTACTATCATCGTTGTTATTAGCAGAATTTATTATATTATCGACTTATTACAGTATTGGAACAATTTCAGAATATGATGCTTCTGGAAACGGTACTTCCGGACACTCAGGAAGTGATGTTTTTGACAGACTTTGGCAGCAGGGTTCTTAATTGAAGAGGTAGTCTTTTAAAGGAAGTTTCCTTTTCAAAGAAATATTATTTGATGAAGCACTCAGTGCTGTTTCTGTTTATTTTTCTCTCAATGATTTATCGTTTCAGGATGTATGCAAATATTTTCAACTTTTTTTTAATATCTCTGCAAATAATTTGATCAAATTATATCCATTAATTGGTTGCATAAGAGAGGAAGGATGATATCGCCTTTTTCCACCATCAGTTAAAGACAACAATAAACTTTACAATCACATTTTTATAATCAGTTTTTAAGTGGTTTTTTTTTTTCTTAAGTTGATAAGCAAATGCAAAAATTGGCCTGATTAACAATATTTTTTTTTTTTTTTTTTACAAATGACAGGATGAAATGAATACCAATGCCGATTACGAGTATGCCACCATCCGGTTAATTGCACGTGAAAGTTGTATATTGATGGCATCAGGAAAAGGAGTAGTATTCAGACGTAATGAAGATAGCAAATCTTAGAAAATAAAGTTCAAACGAAGTTAGAATAAAGATATTACCGGTTTAAAAGACTTTCTAAATGAATCTGTCATCTTATAAGACTGTAAGATATATCAGTCTACTTAAATAAATCATAGATCGAAAACAAAGAAAAATATATAGAAACAAATAGCAACACTTCGAATACGTTATAGAACGAAATATTGAAGAATATGAAGAATAAATGTTTTGTGACTTTTCCAGGACTCGATAATTTTATCAGAAATTATTGAAATTTCTCTTGTAATGATTAAGCAACAGCTACCGTTTGCTTTCGCTGGATTTGCGGCACAAATACTAACATCAAACCTGATATCAGCAGTGCTACACCACAGAACACAAATGACATATTGTAGGAACCAGTTAAGTCAGCTAATTGTCCTGCAATCTGTCATTTTTTCAATCAGATATATTTTCAATTTATGTAGTAGTGATTTTATATCAACAAAGGTCATTTTGTGATTCATTTCACTGTTAAGTGATAATGCTGTAATTATGAAGAACAGTAATTTAGATGTTTCGATAGTGAATGAATGAATACAACTTTAGAAATATGGAATTCATTTTAAGATTTCAGTATTTTTTTTTATTTTTTATGCCAAAATTCTTCTGCTGAGTAACGTTTAAGCCTACGTCTTTGAAAGAATTGTTGTAAACGATATAATTTTGGACAAGATAATAGCGTCAATTTTTAATTTTTCAAAATTCTTACCAGATATAGGAGGTCCTATAACAGTACCAATACCTTGGAAAAGTAAAATTAAGCCAAACGCATTCGTCAATTTCTCAATACCAATTAAATCGACAAGCAATACTGACGTAAGGCATACGTAGGACGATAACGTTAATCCAAATAAACCGGAGTACATCTGCAGAGCACCTTATTATACTTTCATGGACAAATTAATCTAAGCATTGATAATCATTTTTGCTTCTTCTCCTCTTATTCTAATCCGATAGTAATTATCATTAGAGCTATTAAGATTAGCACCGTACATCTAAAGAGATCTAATGCAGTACGAACTGGATTTCTCCATAAGCTATTTCATGAGATTACTGGGTTTCGGTACATCTGGTCGATCTCGGAAAAACTTCTTTGCAAATAGATTTCCGATGCTTTTAAACTTACAGCTAAAGTTATATAACCATGGCAAAAAAGTACGCCGGCTGTTAGCAAACCACATAAAGTCAATGATGATACATAGATCCATAGCCTATTTTGTGCTCTATCTTTCCCATATTTGCACGGCAATTTACGATCTGATATTAATCCAACCAAAATTCGTCCAATTGTATTCATAATACCTGAAAGAGTGGAAATTTTTGAAATTTTGGAACTTACTATTAAATATAATAAAGTTTAAACAAAGTTCCAGTTCTTTTTGTTTTATATTTTACTATACAATACTTCTTATGATTCTATCTAATCGTGTTATTTTCAAGAAAATCCTCCTCTTCATATTAATTACCTGAAATTTTATTGGATTATACTTAATAGTGGTAAGAGATGAATTAAATAGCAGGAAATTTTTGACAAAAGTAATTCATTTCACTTCATTCTCCGCTTGAATTTATGCTAAGAATTTGATCACTGATAATTAATGATAAGTAATGCAAACTTGAACACAAAAATTTAAATTAGAATTGAGAGCTAGTCTAAGCTTGTGATCTTATATCAATCTGACGTTTCACAGACTTATTAGCTAATGATTCAATTAAAATATAGATTTAATTAAGCTTTTCATTTAAAAAAAATGTGCACTTGCCGAATGCACTAATAACACTTGCAGATTGTGTAGGAGTTAGACGAAGATTGGTTGCATGTGAAGGCAAGAAAACAAGTGGTGAATTAAATGCGATGCTTGTTAGCAGATTTGAAATTGCATAAAGTAGGAATATTGGATTAGCAAGTAATGAGATATTTGTCATTTTCTCCATTGTTCTGCAAGTGACAAAGATTTGCCGTAATTGGGTACCTTCAAACGGTACCCTAACACATTAACACCTGTAGTTGTTCTTGAAGTAATTTAGCATTGACAAAATAATATTAGCAAAAACGTCTTGCAAATATCTTTGACCCATCTTTAATCGATCATACCATATCAAAGGATCAAAGATGACCTTGCTACCCAACTTCAACCTTTAGAAAAAATTTTTAAATTGCAAAGATATTTGAGAATTAGCAAATGATATAATTGCAATTAAGACTATTCAATGCAACAGAGATTAGATAAGGAAGGCTTAGAACATTCTGATTTTAAGATTTCCAGAAGTATCCATGCGTTATATACTTAACAGAAAAAAAAAGGAACTAAGTTTGCTGAATGTAACCTGCTAATTAGTCTTATTATTGCTTCCGGCAAACCATTCGCACATTACAATTTATTTTTCTTTTCCGTCTACGTACAGTCCTAGAAATAGAAATAATTACAATTTGAGGCATACCTCAAAATTCCTCTTGTTTTGCTAATTTTTTCCTCTTCTTTCAAATTCAACTTATCATCCTTTATATTGAGCGATGTAAGAGATCGATGACATTCAGTCTGTGGTAATTCATTCATTGAACCCGTATAAAACACATCCTGAATTAAAACAAAAAAAAAAAAAAAACGGTTAGTACAGTGCTAATTAATCTTGCATTGTAAGGTATTCCATGGATAACATCTTATTGAATATCATACTTCATATTCGTCTTACAATATTAAATTAGAGCATAGAAATAACAAATCAAAAGTTTAAATATCATTAATGAAATATAAAACAATAAAAAAATGAGACATTAGCATACTTTAACAGCAATAAATCCTGTAGATTCTGAAAATCTTCGACTTCTTCCATGTGAAATGTTGCTGGCTAACGATTTCGATCGTTCCGATTTTCCATTCGCCTCTTCGACATCATTAATATCTTGTTGATTATGTGATGCAAGCAAAGTGGTTGATAAAGGACCATTTTCTTCATCCTAATTGTAATAGAATATTAGTGACGTAGACATAATATCATCAGAAGTTTTAAGGATTCTCTAAAGTAATTTTAGAAGCATTCAAAGAATATTTATTTTATGTATGCAAA